AAATACTTTATGTATTAAAGTTCATAAACAACACCTGTTATTTTCTTAACTATGAATTCAGTAATTGTTATGAATTTACAACTGAAATATAAATTACGAAACACTTCATTTTTTACTTATGCTATTTTCGCTTTAGCAGAGATATTTATGAATCGTCAATAATTAAATCTTTAGATCGTGAGTGATCACAAAAATGACCGTTACGGAAGATCAAATTAGGGGTTAAGGGTTGAGTGCTTTGACCTGCAACGTCTCAACTCCTACCGTCTTTCGCTGTTTGTAGTCAGTTGTGGGAAGGCAGTCACCCCTAATATTTTGACGTAAGTCACTAATATCATTCAGATAGTTAAAATTTTAACTGGAACTCTTATTTTAAATACTATAATTTTATGTTTGCCTAACTCAAACAATTTGTTAGCTGCTTTGTTTTATTTAATCATATCGATAATGTCAAAACTAATGATGTATGTGTTCTTTCATCAAAATTAATTTTTAGTAGAATAAAGAAAACACATTGTAATTTAAAACTTAAAGCGTAATCAGTTTAATTTCATTAATTTCATTTACCTCACAAGGTGGTGGGGCATTTCTGAAGCTTGGGATTATTCTGAAAGTGACACTACCTTGAATTTCCCTCTGGAAGGTTAAAAACAAATCGTAAAAAATCAGTGCTATAAAAAGTTATCTCATTATAGAATGTAATACTGTTTTTAAGCTGTTACTCTAAGCAGTTTTGTGGTTTATAAGAACCTCGCTGCTATATTGAGTTATTACGACTAATATACAATTATTAGACTTAAAATATATATTTATTAGAATACTTAGTCACATAATTAGGCAATTTTATTATTACGTGAAAGTAGTACATATATATATAGTGTAATTGTTCAAAGCCTCTAATTCACTGTTTACCAGATAAAAACACACACACATGGTAAACTGTTGTACCCCTTGTTCTTAATCTAGATTTTTCTGTAAATCTTTATTGTTGTTTAGACGGAAGGAAGTTTAACGTCACATGAAGTAATTCTCTCCAATGTTTAGGAAATATTGTTAGCCACATATAAAAAGAGATTTAAGCTACATCAATGGTTCACAACAATTTCCTCCCTCATAAACCTCTTAAAGAATGAAAAATAATTTCTCTGATCCTCCATACTCAGATAAGTTCACCTACGGAAACTAATTCTGTGGTGTATAAAAACGATGTTATCATACATAAGTATGTAAGTTAATGACATTTTCAAATAAAATATTACCTTCACAGTAGATTTTTTTTTTAAATCATAATTTGGAAAATCGATCTTTACTGGCGTAGACTCCCTTTATAATGCTTTTCAGCAGATCACAAGTTGAGAACCATTGGTCTAGAGTAAGTTAACGATTTTGTAAGTCAGGTAATGAGTTATCAGTTCATAATTTAGTCAGTTTATACCTATTACTGTTAGCTGATTAGTCAATTAGATAGTTCAAAGCTGTGAATATTGGTTTTATGAACCTTAATGTTGAAGAAATATAACATTTTCTTTATCGTTAGGTGCACTGAACTCTCCACTAGAGATTAATTACTCTATGACTTGAACTTGAATTCACTGCAACAAAAATTACTAAAACAACGTAAAAACTCTATCAGAGTCTACACAATGTAACTTACATAAACATTGTAAAAATTCTACCGACGTTTGAAAAACGGAAATTACTCAATTAAACAATTTAAAAGTCTACCAGAATCTGCACAACAGAAAGTCATAGTGACAATCAAAAATGTTTTTCTATGTGGTATGCAGGCATACTATGTTATCATACCATCTAAAGGAGTATGATTTTTTAAATTATTAACCATTTAGCTTCCGCGCTGTCATGGCGGCAACATGTGGTTCAAGATGTATAGTATTATTTTGTTCTAGCACCTCAGTCCTTTGTTAGAACTTAGATGATGTTTTATGCCCGAAAGGATATTTCAGTGTATTCTGAGCTTAGATAAAAAATACTTAGAACTGGAATATCCTTTGCTGGCCGAGGTCTGATGTCAACTAAACATGATAGGTAACCAATTCTGACGGTAATCAGAGGTCAGAAGGGGACGCTATCTGCTGGACAAAGCAAGCAAGCTGATGTTTGAAATCCAGGCGTTTTCTTTGTATTATTTGTGCTCCCAGTTTGCGGAAAGAAAACCTCTTGAAGTTTCTTCAGCATTTTAATGTCGAGGTAAAATATCTTGCGAGAAGGAAAACTTCAGGGCTAACAATTGCATAACTTAGAGTATCTATCGTCGCACGTGGGTACGCGCTCAGTTTTCAGTGCTCTTGTGTTGTAATAAATAAAGATTTTATTAATTTTACTTAAAGTGTCCAGATTCTCTTACTTCCACCCTAACTTCAAAAACTTAGTCCAATGCTTTTACTCGGGAAGTTTATATAAATCACTGGGTCGAACGTTCAGTTATTCGCGGATATTTCCATCAGAGCAACTTTTTGGAATATCAGTTTGACCTACAAGTACCACTTTAAATCAAAAACACACACACCTTGTACCTTGAAGTATGTACTAACATGCGTTGCATGTATATTTCTTATTATTATTATAGTGGTTCTAAACACATTCCCAAACTGCAACAGAGCCTGTCGATCCCGGATTGGCCTCATCAGCCAGATAAGATCATCATGGAAGACTATCATCCCAGGCTACGAGGGATTGCTAATAGATTCTAAGTTACTAATGATGGATGGCATTAGCTTTAAAAACTCACCAAATCTTGGAAGATATATCCAATCACAAGCTAGAATAATCTCGCTGTTTGTAAAAGTAATGCAAACCCACGCTAGCTAAAAAAAAAAAAGATTTCGTTTTGGGCGATAATTTGTCTAATTCCTCGTTTTTTTGCATTTTTGTTTATTGTCAGTGTATAAATGCAGCTGATGTTATTTGCTTTAGACTGTTCAGGTAATATGGTAAAATTATTGTTCAAATAAATATTCACGAGAAGTTACTTTTGTGTTGTCTGCTTCTAGTATTGTAGTTAATGCTCTTTTTATAATGTTTAAAATTTCTTGTATCCACACAGACACACAAGAAAAAAAATAGAAACAATGCTCGTACATACCACACTTAATACCAGATTCAAGTAAAAATATAGTATTTTTGTTGCTTTTACAGTGCCTTGATACAATGGAGGAATGTGTATTGTATACATAAAGTCTTTCAATAATTGGGAAGCTGTAATCACACTCTGGGAGAAAGGGGAGGAAGTGTTGGCATCAACAATCTAGCAAACAACATGATGATAATGTTAAGACAGCTGTTGCACAACCTGTTCACTAGGATTTTTTGGAAGGTAAAAGCAGTCCCAAATTCACTACAGTGTACCAGTTACAGGAAGAGACAAGCAGAATTTTGACATTTTTGACAAAGAGCTACAAGCGTGTCTGAGTTGATACTATTTTGTTTCTATACAAACTTTTTGTTTTGTTGCTAACTTGTAAACATTGATGAAAGACAATATAACTCCCGTTAGGAAAGAAACTTAATTCCAAGATACCACCCAAAAGGTTTGATAGAAATGAATATAAACCCTATAACTCGAGCGCTTTCCAAAGGTGAACATTTCTTCTTCAGTGGCAAACTGGGAATGGTGGTGTAAGCGAATGAGTGATATATATAAAGGAAGTTGAGTGACGTCATGAAGGCCATCCGGTTTTCCAGGAAATGTTTAATCTATTTCTTTATGTACTATTGTTAGCGTCTAATTTCCGGTACAATGTAGCCGATGGCGAGAGTGTATGTGAAAAAGGTGTTAGGATATTTTACTTTAGAAATGGCTAAATATATGTATATTTATAACTATACTTAAGTGTTTAAGTAGAATAAAGGTGACTCCTGGAGACTGATTGAAAAAGATATGTTATGCTAATCAATTTATAACAAAAACAGGTATGAAAAAAAGTTCCAGGAAATTCAGCGTTCACATTACATGAAAAAAAATATGCAAAGAATAAAAATTATTTTTCTGACAGAGATGAAACCAATGAACAGAGATCACTGATTCTAGGATCTAGATTAATTCCAAAAGGTTGAACAGTGTTTAGATTAGCAATCCAATAAGCTTCTTTTATTTCTCTATTCGCTTTAGTTTTGAATCCTGTTTCGTGGCGATGAGAATAACATCGTTAATGGAATGACCGAGTTGGTTTAAAGTTTTGAGCAACAGGGAGACCTTTTTCGGTGTTAATAGAAGATTTATGGTTGTTGAAACGTTCTCTAAGATATGTTTGTGTATGTCCTACATAATGGTGATTGCATTTTTTACACTGTATAAGGTAAATGGTGTTTTTTTGTTTCACAAGTGATTTCTTCAGACATTTTAAAGTTTCTTTGTTTGTGCTTGTCAGAAAATGAGTCAGTGGTTTTTATGAACTTGCAGGTTTAACAACGGGCTTTATTGCATGAACGAAAACCATTTTTGGGTGAGATATAATTCACTTTTGTGTGAACAAGGATATATTTTAGAGTTCTTTTTCGGAAGGAGACAACGGGAACTTCAGGAAATATCTGTTTAAGACGATCGTTGAGCTGTAGGAGATTAAAATGCTTTTTCAGAATTCGTGAAACGTTTCTGAATTTAAACTGATAGGTAATAATAAGAGGAATTATATTTGAAAGTTTAGTATTGCTCTGATCTAGGATGTTTTCCCGCTGAGTGTTGTTAGCCTTTTCAATTTGTCTATCGATTTCGGTATTTTTATATGTTCTTTGTAACATGTTTTGTTTTAGATCCTTGGTACACCATTCCCAGTTTAGCCCTTAACAAGAAAGTTCCACCTTTCGAAAGCGCTCGGGTTATAGGGTTTTTGTTCATTTCTATCAAGACTTCTTGAACCTATGTGTTTTTCTAACATTATGAATAAAAAAAAAGTTTGTGTAGAGCAGAATGATAGAAAGTCAGTGATTATATAATCAAGACTTGAGTACGTACATCATTGCAGCTTAAGTAATATAGTGCCAATTACTGCATGAAAGCAATGTTTCTAAAGCTGGAAGGCCCACTAAGACATAATTGTAGCACAGGGTGACCAGAGGACCCTGAACGTTGGACAACATTTATGAAAGCTGCTGCTCACTTGGATGAAAACGATGATGAACAGGTAACTGTTTGTGATCTTGTTAAAAGAATGTAAGAGTTTTTGTTTTTACTTTTTCTGTTTTTAAAAGAAATATTCTAATCATAATGTATACTCTGCATTATACATGAAAAAGAAGCTTGGGGAACACTATGGCGACTAGCTCATAATCATGGAATTCTATGAAAAACAGGATGTGTCGACTTTTAAAAGAAATGCTTCATAAAGCTTGTGTAATTTTTATTACATCTCTAAACTGCAAGATGCAGAAGCAGAGAAAATGCACATTGTTAAAGCTGCTGGTGAACTAATAAAAGCTGAGATTCGATCAATGGTGTTTGAAAAAGAATATTACTCAGATGCCAAGGAAATGCCTTCTGTGAAGGAAAACACTGATTTTCTTCCCAAAACTTTGCAAGTCATCTTCATCAAGTACTTTGTTGGCAAGAATGTAAAGTTTAAAACGACATCTCTGGGACATCACTATTGTTTACAACGGTTGTCATGCAAATGAACCATAACTGTGGTTCGAAATTTCCAATCGATTCCTTGCAGCAATCATACCTGGAACCATCATCGACAAAGCTAAACCCCAACTCAAGACCAAAATCGAGTGTTTGGCGTCTATGGGATATGTACAATGCTTAATATCTAGGAAAAGACCCTGGTTCCCTCTCTGTTGGTAGTTGGAGGGGGGACGAGTTTTATAATATGCATATTTAAATATTATTGAGATTACTATGTGGAATAGGGCTGGAAGGAGTAGAGTGGTTGACTATGTCAGTGAAATACCAATTGGTATTGCGAACAAAGCAGTTTTAAAATTAGCTATAGTGTTTTTGCCTTCCAATTAACAAAATACCAAACAAGGTTTGGATATAAAATCCAAATAGATCTGGCAAAAATTAAGCACTGGATATGTAGATGTCTACTACTACAAGGCAGTCCATAGTGTCCTCTAATCTATCGAATATGAACATCTCATTGGTGCCATTGCCAAAAATGCGGTATCCAACATGGATCTTCTGTGAACAATTTCCTGGTTGCTGCATACTCCTAGGCCTTCATTATCCAGAAGAATACAAACTGCGTTAGGGAGAAGGCCCCTGGGTAGTCATCTATCATCTTTTTGCCCATGATCGACCTGAAACCGAGCACCCATCTTTCATATCTCCACTCTGGAATTTGTTTGAAATAAAGCCAAGTGGAAGGCATTGCAAATAATTGTTATCAGTGATATGAAAAAGTGGAGACATAAACCTGCTAATTGCATAGATACCTATCGAGTCTGACAAGAAAATGCCAACTGTGTCAATTGGAGATAACATGGATCTTTTTTTAAATTCTCTGTTTTCATGCCAACCTAGATATTTTGTTTAAGTAGAGCAGAAAACCAATAGCAAAATTTTAAAGAAAAAACATAAAAAATGTGGAAGGTTCTCAAAATGACAAAAAGCCCTGGTCAACAAGTTATGTTTTGCTTGTTTTTGACATTAAATCTCATTTCTTTGGTGTTTGGACATTTGAAAGCTTGAATAACATCCAACTTTGAAAGATCAAGTAGAAATCTTCTCTAGTAAAACAACCACAGATGAAACCGCCTGTGCAGGTGAAAAGGCACTTATGTTCATACCATCAGATGAAGCTAAACTGGAACTGCGTAAATTGAAATTCATACGTTTCTGAGAAGAGATCACCGCAAGTTGAACATTTTTCAATCATAAATAGTTCCACCAGCATCAGCATCCTTCAAGCTTCAAAGTCTTAGAGTCTTCCTTCAACTGCAGGGATGGATATTGCAAGAAGCAAACCTGGAATGGGTAGCAAGCGAGACAAATTTGGTTCGAGCTCAGAAAGATATGCCAACATATCAGCTGCTCTTCTGAAGTTGATCAGATGTACATGCAAAACTGACTGCAGAACATCCAAGTGTACTTTCAGAACGTAAGAACTACAATGTTGAGTTGGTTGTAAGCAGTTCCATGATGAGTGCTCCACGAATTCTCCCTATCTATACGCAGCTGTAATTAACAATGATAACTAATTCTGGAATATTTGGACTCAAATATGGGCAATTTCTCTGTATCAGACTTTGGTAGACTTTCTTGTATTATGTTAAACAGACTATCTTGAATACTATATTTATTTCTGTTGCAATTAGTTGAAGCTTATTAAAAATTTCCTGTATATTCTTTTTACAAAATAACTCCAAAAGCCGGTCAACAATATAAATAATTACAACAATACTTTTTGAAACTCTGCCATATGTGTTATCTTTACCATTTTCTTTCAAATTCACTTACATATGCTTTCCAAATGAGTACTGTATACAGCTATTTGATATCCGTGTGTAAAATCCACTTTAACTTTGTTTATCAATTCAATGCTGAAAACATTTTAAGGTGGAAGTACTGAAATCTTGTGCATACAAATAAAACATCTTCATGCAATGTACAAACATCTGTACTGGTAAGAATATGTTATATAGCTGTCTTCTCTGAAAAATATAGCTAAAAATATATATCTATTTATTTTACATCTTCATATGAAATATATACAAAAATGTTGCCTTACCAATATTTTCTGTAGCATGTCTACTGATTGATTTGTTACAAGAACTCCGTTTATTTCACGGATTTCATCTCCAACGTGTAAAGAACCTTAAAAGAACAATAATAATTTGTATTGTCATTTGTTTGCAACAAGGAACTCGGAATAAAATGATAGTGTAAAGATATGTTGCTTATGGTATTTTAATCATATTTTACACAGGCGTCGGAACGGGAAAGAGAGTATCTTCCATACAGGTGGCCAACACCAATTTCGAGAGGTTTACAATTTCTCCAAGCTGAAATGAATTTCAGTCTAAAATAATGACTCGGTATAAAAAATATTTAACTTTTAAAAACAATATGGTAGTTGGAGGCAAAATATTAAAAAAAAAGATAAGATAAAAAATTAGGTCCAAGAAAAGAGGCCCCCCAGTGGCACAGCGGTATGTCTGCGGACTTATAACAATTGTGCAACTTGTGTCTAACAACAAACCACACACACACACACACGCGAACCACCCACTGTATCAAAATAGTTCCAAATCACCAATCTAATTATAAAAATTCCTTTGGTTTCTTCCTGTTTTCGGCAGGTTTACTTCTAACAAACTTGATTTACTTCTGACTATCCCTCTTAACGCATATGGTAACATGTCATTAACTAGTGTGATGAATTACGATTCATCAATTTTAAACAATATGCACTCCAGTGTCAGCTTTTAAATTAAATATGTCTCCTAGTGTTATTTCACTTCAGTTACATCATACATCAGGTGAGCTCCAATCGAACATACAAACACTGTTCCTCAGAAAAACGTGGCTCATCATAACATTTAAGGAATTGATGAACAACTCTGTACTAAAAAATTTCAACAAATATACTGATAGTTTTTATATTTGTCCACTTCTTAGCAATGTTATATTTCTTGTGTGTTAAAAAATATAGATGAATAAAGGGAATTTGTAGTTGTAGCAAAGGCGCTAAGACTATTTGTCGCCATCCCTAATTTTGAGCTACTGACCAGATGGTTTGTTTGTTTGTAATTAAGCACAAAGCTACACAATGGGCTATCTGTGCTCTGCCCACCACGGGCATCGAAAACCGGATTCTAGCGTTGTAAGTCCGCAGACATACCGCTGTGCCACAGGGGGGCCTGACCAGATGGAAAGCAGCCAGTTAGCAGCATCATACCATCCACTCTGATGAATTGACTGTCACTTTTATAACGCACTAGCAACATAAAGTGCGGAGAGAGCCATGGGGTCATTCTGATAAAGCACAAGATAAGTTCAATTAATTTACAAACTCATTTCATTGTGATCAAATATGGTAAAACGTAATTGGCTTAAATTATTTGATCTTAGAATTGTTTCGTAAATAAGATAATATAAAAAGGTTAACTTCTATTTTTTCGAATTATGCAAAAATAAAAAAAAAATGAATCACAACAACTGGTGGTGCTACTGTAAAGTAAAGAATCGTTTTACCTTGTCTGTGAACCATTCCTCCATGCATAATTCGAGCTACAATACAACGATTGTTGTCATCCAATTTCAAGGTGATTCCCTACGAATACAAAATAACTATAGAACAGTGCAATAAAATTAGCTAATTAGGATTAATGCCTAATGGACTAGCAGTTTCACTACAGGAATCTTCAAAGGTGTTAATAATACCAAGTGCGACTATTCATGGAATATATAGCTCATTGTTCCAAATAGCAAGATGAGAATTTGTCTAAGGAATAAATCATGTCATTTTGATTCAGAGTAAAACTACGCTGGATATTAATAACAATTAAGACATAAAGAACATTTATATTCTGAAACTCAGTCAATTTAAAATAATCATAAAAACATTTACATTCTGAAACTCGGCAAATTTAAAATAATCATAGAAACATTTACATTCTGAAGCTCAGCCAATTTGAAATATTCATACAGGTGTTTATAAAATCAGTATTTAGGATGAGCGAGTAATATGTAGGCAAAGTATTTTTCATTCATGCATAAGGTATCTTGACAACTGCGTCTACTGGTTTCTGGAAATGACACTACAGTAATTTCCAGTATTAGCACTATCATCTCTTGGTTAATGGATATTATTGAAACGTGTAACATCTCCCCAGGAGTAGTCTGAACTACTGCCGCAATGATATATTTCAGATGTAAAATGGTTGCGGGGTTAATGACGACAGATTTGTAACTTTTGAAAGCCCCATAAACAGTAGCCAGCAGGGATGAAGTCAGGAGGAAAACGTGTTGACCAGATATGATACAGACATTTGGTTGCGGTGGAACGTAGATAACCTTCTCATAAATGGTACTATAAAAATATAGTTGTCTAGATTACGAAAGTTGATCCATATTGTGGTGCAAAAAATAAAGACGTTGTAGTAATGTAACGTTGAAAAAACATCGCCAAACTGTGTCGGAATGATTCAGCATGACTTTGTATGTTGTGTTTCTTCTGAAGTTGGCTATAACTCAGGCTGCAGAAGACGACATCATGTTACTAATGAACATGAATCTGAACAGGGGATTTTGCAACCGCCAAGAAATAGAACATTAAGACACTTCTTCAAATTCTTTCACAAAAGAAAATAGAACATTAAAAACATTTCTTCAAACGTGTAATTAAGAAACATATTTGCTTTGGAAACAAAACATTAAAATATTTATTCAAATCGTGTCACAAAGAAACACATTTGCACTGGAAAAAGATCGTCAGAACATTTCTTCAAATCGTGTCACAGATATATAAGTTCGTTCTGGAAACATAAAATTAAGATATAAATATTTCTTCCAATCGGGTCACAAAGAAATACATTTACTCTGGAAATAGAACGCTGAAGTATTTAAAATTATTGTATGTTAAATTAAAAAGCTTAGGAATACAGACGATCCTGGTGGTGCACCGAAATGTTCATCGCAGTTCATGTATGTAAATAAATTCATTACTATATGAATCGAACTTCGTCTTGTCTTTTGACCCGTGAAACAAAATAGTCTTATATCAAAACTTTATAACAATAAAGATGAAAGTGTCCTAGTTGGGCACTAAATCATGCCTTTAAGCTCCTTCTGTATAAAATGTGTACGCTTAGCAAAATTAGACATGTAGTTTATTACCCCACCCCGCCTCGTGTTTTTTTTTTTTAAAGATACGTGTAAAACAAGCCCTACGGCCTTTTACGTTTTATGACTTCAGTTCTAACTACAACAGTAAGTTTTTTCCTTACTGAGTTGTCTGATACACCTTGTACAGTATAAAGTTTCCTAAGCAAAGAATAATTTCAAACATAGTAAGCTTGTCACATATATTACTTTGCTAATGTATATATATATATATATCCTTAATACAGATATATTAGCAAAAATGTGTTAAACACAGTTCAGAATATGTTATTAAGCAAGCCTCAAATTTATAACCAAAAAGAACGTTTTTCAGAAGTGAATATGTGAGAATTATATTCGTGTTATTTCAAAAGGTCTGAATCGAGAATATTCATTGGATGTTCTACGATTACTTCACGAGCAATCGTCATTGAAGAGTATCTTTTTCAATCAGATATTTTCACTCGTTTTGATTGCATTCTTTATATTTGTATTGGGCAATTATTATAGAAAGTGATAGATCTATAGAAAATGCCATCGTTATATATGTTTTAAATATGTGCATGTGTATTTTCCGAAAATTACATAATGTAATTTTGTAACGATTGTTAAGCTTCACTGAAAACTGTTCGACTAATCTTTGAATTAAAAAAAGGAGAATATCATGATAAAGTAAGAAGGGAACATGATGGAAGAATATTCAAGGATGACATGCATAGGTCAATGTCAGGCGGATTGAAGTATGCACTCTACTAAATGTTCCCTCCATTCTTTTTTTTATTTGCTCTCGTGACGTTCACTGATGTTGATTTTTAGATGATCTATATTATACTGCGATTTATATTATCGTACCAAACTAATGTTTAAAACTAACGGCTAGATTAAAAACATAAAATAGAGTTCATTGTTGTTATATATAATGACGTTGGCAAGGTTAGTTGTACCTAAAGGACATTACCGAAAGGAACTTTATAATTAGTAAAACTTAGAGGAAATTTCAAAGGGCCTAAAGGGGTAAAATTATATTTTTGATTAGTATAACTTACCATAGCTTCTTCTCCCTTCTTCTGAAACTCCACCACACGTGTTGTTTGTTCTATTTCAGTTCTATCTAGCGAGTTGATATTAGCGAAAGACATTGTAGGAAGAATGAGGAATTGGTGATGAACACCCACTGGTGACTGGTTTTGAAACGATTGCTTTGCTATTACTTCATGTGTGTTTGGAACAAAACCTGCAAGAAGTAAATAACAGTGTTATTATAAAGGATGGTTTGTTTCTTTAGGATATTCGCGAAAAGTTAGACAAAGACTATCTGCTCTAACCCTCCATATTTTGAATTTATAGACTTTTTTAAATATCGGATACTGGGATATTACCCATAACCAACTCTTGGGCTACTGTAATCGAATATTGGGGTTGGACCATAAATGGTTGCAAACAACAAATCCTAGGATCTACGGCAGGCTAGCCAGCCCATATAAAGGATTGTAAAATTCGCTAATATTTATTAACATTTATTAAGCCCACATGTAATTATCACTTTATATGTAAAGTAACTTTTATAGAGCAACAATATACCAAAATGTAGTTGCTATATCAAACCCTCATCATGACTACAGTAAAATGAATACTTATTATAAGGTAATAGAAATTAACGAATATCCAGGGAACGTTTACAGGGCAACTGTTATTTGAAGCTTATAATGTGTTTTTCTTACATATTTCCAGATTATTAAAGCTGATGTGATTTTATGTGATTTTTAAGGAAAATGTTAACCAAGGGCAAGTTTCAGATCTATTGTCGTTCAGTTGAAGAAGCCCTGTCGAGCCGTTGACACGCCGGCCTGTGGAGCTGAGATTTTGTGGTTCACGTCCCATTACTCACCAAAAAAAAAAATGTTCCGTACTCTGGGGTCGTTAGTGTGTTAGAAAAGTGAAGATCAAATCCCACTTTTCGGTTTGACAAGAGTAGTTCAAAAGTTGGCGGTAGATGATAGTGACTAGCTGCCATCCCTCTAGTCTATCAGAATTAGAAATGGCTAGAACATATAGCCCACGTGTGTCTTTGTACAAAATCTCACGAACAAACAAACAAACGAGGAAGCCTCTACTGGGGGTGATTTTTTTAATATCTTTATTTTTTCTTCTAAGCATTGGAAACGCAAAAGAGACTAGCTAGTTGCTATGTACTATCTACTTTTATATATGCTGGTAAAACGTGGACAATCAACAAGAATGTGGAAGATAAGATCAATACATTTGAAATGTGGATGTTCAGAAAAATGCTGAGAATATCTTACAAAGACAGAGTCACCAATGAAGAGGTCCTTAGAAGGATCAAAGCTAGGAGAACGTTACTTAATAAATTAAAACAATCAAAGTGTAGATATTATGGTCATGTAGTCAGAGAGCAGGCAATACAGAGAACACTATTGGAAGGCAAGACCAATGGAAAGAGACAAAGGAAGAGACCAAGAAGTAATTGGATGAAAACGTATGTGAATGGGTACAACTGTACTATACGGGGTGCGTCAGAGTAGCACAGGAAAGGAAGACATGACACACCATGATGGCGAACCTTCTGTAAGAGGATGCCAACTCCAGACAAGACCAGGTTCAACATTAGAATTATATTGTACATCAAGTATTAATTTCTCAAACCTTTTCCAGAAGTGTTTTTACGTCTATGTGTTTCAATGGAAAACGGTGAGTTAAAGCAGCGTTTTGAAGAAGTGTTTACTAATGAAATCAAATAAGTCAAGTTAGCGAACTCCTATATTTCGGATCGGACGAGGGTTTTCATGGTTTACGTTCCGTTGTCACAGAATCGCGCTCCCCAATTAGAAGCAATAGGTGCATCATAAGATTGATGGCCAAATCACACTATTCTAATAGAATAGCTGAAGAGTTGCGGTGGATATTGTTGACTAGATACTTCTCTCTAACATATCATATGACCATTCTCGTGCATAGATTTCATAAAATAAGTAAGAGCTTGCAACATTTAAAATTGCACAATGATTTATTGTATAAAGTTAAAAGTAAAATATACAGTTAAACTCTATACAATTAAAAACTGTATATGTTTCGGTGGAAAAAATTTCATCATTAACGGATTCATTAGACGGGAATCGAAGTTTAATGATGATGAACAAAACAAAGGCAGCAACAACGAACATTTGACACGTGTTTGTACAGTAACAAACATTTAATTCTTGAAAGTTCTGATTGTCCTGCTTTAAGTTGTATGAAATGAAACAGGCTACTAGAATAATACCCGTACTTTTGTCATTCAATAATCCGTTTTAATTACATGAGTGGCCGTGGTAGAACACCAGATTTCGGAACTGACGAGTTGGGTTCGATTTCGTGCGATACCACGAAATATATTTGCCCTTTAAGTTGTGGATGAGTTATATGAGTAAAAATCAATCCCTCAGCATGGATGGTGAGTGGTAACGTGGTGCTGTCTGGCTGTTTTTCTTGTGGCTCGTAGTTAAGAACTGGGAACGGCGGCAGAAGGACTTATCAGCTTTGCCATGAATAAAAAGTTCGAATAATGCAATATTAAGTAAAGTTTTCTCGCTTTAGGAATTATAATAAATGAAATCCTGCTACACCTAAATCTTATACAGCCAGTCTGGTAATTATGTTTTATTAATTACGTATCACTTACTTAATGTACTTTAAAACAATGCGTTTAATGTATGCCTTTATATACGAAAACTAACAAAGTGACATCATGATGGCTTTATCAGTCTTATCGTCTGAGTTATAACAAATAAATCACCCGGAGGTTTAGCTAAAAGTATCAATTCAATGCGGTTGGCACAGCGCATATATCTAATTGTGCTGCTTTATTCTTATTAATAATAAATAAAAATAACTAATAAGTAAAGTCAACCACTCACTCAGTTGTAGGTACGAGTAAGTTCAATTCCTTGATAGAGTTAGCAACTAAAGTCAACAACAGAGACTCAGCCGGTTGTAAGATGAAAGAAATTTGATTTTTTCGCATTCATTTTTACCTATTGTCATCAAAAGTATTTCGATCATTCAAATCCATAATAAACATTTACTAAGTCACCCGAAACTTTAGATGTTCATATATCAGCATGAAGGTTATTAACATGTAGCGCCATTTTACCAAATTTCTATGTATATTCTGCTTCACGTGAAACCCCACTTCTGCAAACAGTCTGCGGGATTTCTTACTTCAAGTAGTCAACAGTCTTGAGTTTAGCCAATTTATTCCTACAGAATCTCAAGTCTTCAGTAGTGACAGTACAATAACCAATCTCCAAAAGGATCATTTAGAACCGATACCTTTGAACTTTCGAAAGCTGATTTTCTTCAGCTAAATCTACCCAAATACTAATTAATGACTGGATGATTTCAGGTGAGATAAACAAATGTTGACTGCACTAAACCCTTCGTGATTCGACACCATTAAGCCTCGAGAATTTATTGTTTTACATAACATCTTAGAATTTGCATATCGTATCTGAAAAAAACTTCATAATTCTAGGTAGGTAATAATGCCTTATGACAAGTGACAAATTACCACCAACCTTTGTGAAATGCTGTTGGAATATTTTTGTAAGAAATATTTCATGAAAATAAATTGCTGCATGCTCGTTTGTCATTATTTTTTTAAGTTTCACAGCTTAACATATAAAACACTAATATATCTCGTGGATATACAAAAAAAAAACAGTCCAGCAAACCTTTGTTCTCTTCTACTGTATATCATAATGATAAATATTAATTATTAAGCTTCATATAACGCTATTTATTACAATGTAAACTATTGAAACAGAACAGTGGTAGCATATAGTGTCAGTATTAGTATGAAAAAGAAAAAAATAAGTAAAGAAATGACAGAAAACTTTAATGAGTAAAAGTACAGGAGATAGTAAATAAATCGTAAACAGAAACTCGTTACAACATAATATATATGTACATCTACAGTAGTTTGCCGACCCTAGTAAAAGTAACTTCTGTTGTGGATTAATAATAAAAAAAAGACTTATTGGAATAAAGCTGGATAGATTCCAGTGTCGAAACTAATAATACAAATATCTTAGAAATTGTTACTGATATTCAAATTACCTTTAGGAGTGGTTAATGTGAGAGTTAACCTTTTTATTAACTGGCACTACTTTTTAACAGTCTGTAAATCGACAAAATTACTTTAAATTTTGGGAGTGCTTTCCGAGAAGCATTACGTGGATTTTCTTTAATACTCTTTTATTTTGCTTTGGTTGAATTACCATTGGTAATACCAGTTACAATATTGAATAAATTTACTGATGCGAAATGATACAATTACAATATTTCACTACAGAAATATTTAAATTATAATAGCCTTTATCTTCGCTTGATTATAAAGAATACAAGAAAAGTAGCAAATCACGTGGGATGTCTTTATGTTTTAGGCTGTGTGATAAAACATGCAATTTCTACAAGAGGAGTAATTGATAGTTAATTGACAACAACGGGAGAATTTGCGATTTGAGATGCACTATACAGGTTCAGTATTGATGTTTTTATTGCTTATTTTACCATAAAGTAAACCATATGAATGTATTTCATTTTGTGAAACTCTTTTGCAAGCTTTTGTCTTACTATTTCTTTATTATAATGAGCTTCTAAATATTTATATTCACACTATCTTACTTGCTTTTATCCGGTTCTCTTGTTTCAATGTTCTCTAAAACTAACGAGGTCGAGCATGACTTAGTGACTAGCATACCGGGCTGCGTATCAAAGTCCGAGCCTGCGATGTGTCACCGAATAAACTCCGCACTTTCTGATGTGGGCGCGTTATAAAAGTGAGATTGAATCCGGTCAATTGTTTAAGGGTAGCCGTGTAAGCCGCGGGTGTTGCTGTCTTGTCTTTGATCAACAGTTTTTAATTAACTGGGGACAGCTATTCTTTAGCTTTAAAACTAAAACTTACAGTAATGTGGCACCAAATAGCAAATATTTTTTACAAACGTATATAATCCTTTTACATCTTACTTTGAAGTAACAAATACTGTAACTAATTTAAAGTCGTTTTTTACGTCAAAACTTATATTTAAGTCTACTAAAAACAAACTTTATAACGTCATATATGAGCTTGCGTAGTGGACCGTTCTTAAAGAATATAACCCGAAACCAGCATTGTGTGACACAAAACAGTGCATTTTACTTCACTGTTTCTGTTGTTTTCTTATTGGTTCGCGA